CCGATGATGTTCTCCGCTGCGATCCTGAAGAAGTAGCCCTTCCCGTCGATGAGCCCCTGCACCACGGCGTTGTGTCGGGTCACGGTGTAGGACACGGAGGTCCAGCCCATGCGGTCCGACTCCCGCTTCTCGATGATGTAGTTGGTGATGGCCGAGCCGCCGTCGTCCTCGGGGGAGTACCAGGTCAGCTTACAGGAGTCAGTGGTCAGATTCTCTCCAGCGAAGGGAAGCCCGACGGGTCCAGGGACGTCTGGGGGGGAAAGGGGGGGGCACAGAGGGTCACAAATCCAGTTCCAGGCTTTTAACTCATTGACTGCCAGCCATTTTCAGAACAGAGTCCCAGAGTTTTTGGAGCATTTTGACTGATTTTTCAAGAGCCACAGAATAGTTTGTGCTATGACTATGTAAACACCGAACACACCAAAAGAAAGAGTAGACTCTCTTCTTTCATCAGGAAAAAAAATGTGTTTCTACCTTATTCCGTTCTTCCTGGACTTGCGTCTCACCGGCGACATGTTCTCTCATAGAACCGTTCCCTTTTTCTTATTTGCCTACAGTCTATGCTCATCTCCCATCAAAAGTGGCACTGCCCCCTAGAGGCTCAATTTGTTACTACATACTCTGTCTAGAAGCCGATATTTACGGACAAGCTTTAGCAGATCGTCCCCCAGACACTCTGGTTAAAAACATAAAAGACCTCTATAGACGCCTTTGGCACTTAACGGTTGTATTTGAACTGAGGTCTATAGACGTCTTTGGCAGCCAGTGAGTTAATTCAAGCTGTATTCCCTCTGAGACTCACCCAGGACCTCCACGATCACGGCCTTCTTCCTCTCCCCTCCCTCGTTCTTGGCGCTCAGCGTGTAGATGCCCTGGTGCTGCCGCCTGCAGTTCTTGATGACCATGGAGTTGGAGATGCCCGTGGTCTCCACCACGGCCTCCTTGGGCACCTCGGCGTCGTCCCGGCACCAGGTGATCTGCGGGGCCGGTTTCCCCGACACGTAGGCGATGATGCGGATGGTCGCACCGGCGTGGACCACGATCTTCTCCTTCACCGAGGCGTCCAGGTCCATCTCAGGAGGAACTGGAGAAGGAGGCAGGTTAGTGCATCAGATACAGTGGGGGAAATAAGTATTTGACCTCTTGCTGATTTTGCAGGTTTGCCCACTTATATGCCATTACAGAGAGAAGTATTTCCCACAGTATTATGTGAAGAGCCCATCGATGTTTAAAATGGTTTCATTATTTCAGTCTGTAAAAAATAAAATAATTTGTAAGTTGGGTGCCTTTTTGAAATGGGTCCTCCCATTATATACAGTGGGGGAAATAAGTATTTGACCCCTTGCTGATTTTGCAGGTTTGCCCACTTACAAAGAATGCAACGATCTATAACTTTAATCATATGTACATTCTAACAGCTAAAGACAGAATCCCAAAGAAAATTCCAGAAAATCACATCATATGTATTTATAAAAATTGATAACCATCTGATGAGGAAAAATAAGCATTCTTTGTAAGTGGGCAAACCTGCAAAAACAGCAAGGGCTCAAATACTTATTTCCCCCACTGTATCAGATATACAGGGAGAGAACAATTTTAATCAGTATGACCAGAGTCAGTATATCTAGGACTTCGATGCGCACACAAAGAAGTCTGAAAAGTTGGCTATCACAAAAGATCGCCTCAAGAGGTAATCTGCAGATTTGTTTTGGGAATTTCAGGAAAATAATATCAAACCAACTCATGCAAAACGCAGGTATAGTCCAAGATAAAGCTAGGAGGATACTAATAGTCCTTTTTCTCATGATCGTTGGATATTGCAGAGGCTTACATATAGACACATATCTGTCAAAGGACTGTGACCCAATAAATGTCCCCCACTGTAAGATCGGCCTGCTCGCTTCAGCAGCGTCTGTGTAACGGGAATCTTACTTGTTCTGTCTGTGAGCTCGATCAGCTCGGAGACGAGCCCCGGGTCTCCCACCCCGGCGGCGTTCACAGCCCGGACTCTGAAGCGGTACAGACCGCCTTCCTTCAGACCGCTCACCACAAACTTGGTTCCCC